AAGCTTTAGCTGAATGTCTTTTGTCAATCAGTTCTTAAATTGGGTGTTTGCTCCATAGTTGTTACAAACTGATCCTCAAAGTTCTTGAAACTGAATCTCCTTAACATTGGACAAAAATTAAGAAAAAATATTAAACAACTAAATGTATTATTTTATAAGCTAGTGAAACGCATCCGTTTTCTTATTCGTAGAGCTCGACCTACTAACTTATGTGATTTTTTTTTAAGTATATAAGAGGTGTGTTAAAACACAAAGATAATTTTTATGCATTTAACGAAAAATGTTGAATATATAAAAAACACTTTTGAATAGTAAAAGGATATTTTTGACTATTTAAAAGACACTTTGAACATAAGGCGTAGTTTGAAATGTAAATATCCCCCGATGGGACAGCGGTAAGTTTACGAACTTACAACACTAAAACCCGGGGTTCGATTCCCCGCGATGGACACAACAGATAACCCAGTATGGCTTTGCTCTAAGACAAACAATCTTGGGAATATAAATGAGCACAAAAAAGAACACAGAATTTTCACTGACTTACAAACACAACTCTATACATTGCTCAAACCGTAACTGTATCTGTTTATGATCATTGCGTATACTAAGTAATCTGAACACACAATATGTTCATAACATAAACAGTGCACTTGCACATGAAAATGAGCACCTCCGAAACTAGTAGTGTTGTCCGAAATACCCACAATACTTCCACGTCTGTGATACACAACTCTGCCGAACATGAACCCTTTTGAATATAGAAAAGACTAAACCACCCGTGACCCATTGGGTCATCCACTATTCTGAGGTTATGAAGAATTCAAGCTAATTCCAAAATTGCATCGAAATGAAGGTTTATTTTGAGATAATTTAATTAATATTTCAATCCATTCGTGTTATTCATGATTCAAGAAAAGATATTTGATTGTCGATCGGGAGTAAAAGGAAAGACCATTTAATTTTTCAAAAAAGTGAAGTCAGAGATTTCAGGTATTGTGATGAACAAACCTTATTCACAGTTGATTCAAAATGCCTGAAAATAAGAAATAACATATAATAGTAATGTTATTCATGGTTTATTAGAACGTAATTGGTATAAAAAAAACAAAAAAGCTATTTCAGAAAAACATTTCATACTTACATGCTCAAATTACTGCAAGAAACAACAAAACTTGAT